CGCCCCGCCGCGCCCCGCAGAGGTGCGAGAGGCTTCTTCACTTGATTGCGTTGCCCGCGGGGCTCCGGGCCCCATATACACGGCGGGGCGGCCATCACTCACTCTGGGCCGGGCTGGTCAGTCAGTCAGCCCTTGCCGCTGCCCCCGAGGTGAGGTTTCACTCGCACGGCGCACTTCTGCAACCCCACCCCCCACCCACGCTCCGGGGCTCGCGCGGAGACTGAAAATGAGACGAACGGAAAATCCTTTCTCTTTGCTCCACCACCAGCACACACCCTGGCCGAGGAGGAACGAGGCCGCGCTTGTTGTTTCAAATAAGCCACGCGCCGGCCGCCCGAGAGAGCGAGATTTGGATCGAATCGAACAACGCGCGCTGTCGGCACCCCGCCCGAGCTGCCCTATGCCCGGCCGGTCCGGCACGGCCGAGACCCAAGCAGCCCAGGCCTGCATCGCATTATTTGATCTGAATTGGATCTCGCTAACGCTGTAACGCAGGGTAACGCTGTGGTAATGAGGGGCGGGCCTGCTCTGCTTATTCCCTCTCTACCTCTCTCTCTCTTACTCTTTTTCGCTCTCTCACTTTATTCTCTCTTTCTCGCCGGTGCCGCGCCCTGCCCTGCGTGTAAGTCTCCGAGGACACACACACACAATCTTTTGTCTCGCCCCGTTCTCTCTCTCTGCCCCTCTCACTCTTTGCACCTCCCTCTCTCCCTCTCCCTCTCCCTCTCTCTCCCTTCCTCTCTCCCTCCCTCCCCTTCTCTCTCCCCCTCTCTCTCCCCCTCTCTCCCTCTCTCTCCCTCTCTCTCCCTCTCCGGCCAGCCTAATGAGTAGTAGGCCCCATAGCCTTCACATGCGCTTGCGCTGCCCGTCTCGTCGGTCAGCTCCGCCGCCGCTGGACGACACGGCGGCGTCTTGAATTGCAAACAAGGCAATAAGTCGAGAGAGTCCTTTGACGGCGACGTCGCCGCAGCCTTCCTGCTCCTCCGGCTCACGTCGACTCCCCGCGCCCCGCCCCGCCTCTGCGTTTTGTTTTTCTCCTCCATCATCGCGACCCCGCCGACGTCGTCGGGAGGCGTTCCTCCCGTTCCTCCCCTCGCCGCCTTTAATCGCGCACCCCTTTCCTCCCTTCGCCCCCCCCC